GGCCCGGGCCAAAGTATGGGCAAATGGCGAGCCCAAGGGGCCTCGCTGGGGTGGGCAGTGTGGCTGTGCTGGGGGTCTCATGACAAGCTAAGGGTGCATGCTATGAGGGGCTGGGGCTCCACTGGTGGGGAGCAGATGGCAGGGGCCCCCAAAGGCCCTGGGCACTGGCTGAGCTCCCAGATGGCTCTGTAAACAGGGTAGCCTCGGGCCTCCAGCAAGGTTGGCTAGGAGCGCTGTGGCTGGTTGGGCTGTGGCTGGTGGCAGGTGAACAATGCTGGAAGCTGCAAAGGCTGGGGACTCGGTGTCCAGGGTCATCCGAAAGGGTGGAGTTAGGAACTGGGCTCAGAGAGTGTCTGGAAATGTGTTCTGAGAGGGCGGGGGCCCCATCCCACTAGCCTGTCCTGGTTCCCAGGGCCCTGCCTATTCCCCATGTGGCCCCTCTTCTCCCTCTTCCTGCCCCCAGATGCTGGCCACTCTGCTGATCACCCGCCAGTTTCTCCAGAATGTGCGTGAAGTCCTGCAGCCGCACCTGTACCGGCGGCTGGGCCAAGGCGAACTCAGCCTGCGGGCCGCCTGGGAGCTAGCCCGGGCCCTGCTTGGCCTGCTCAGCCTTCGGCGCCCTGCACCCTACCATCTTGAACCCCAGGCTGAAGAGGGTGGTGGCAGTGGGGGCGGAGGGGGCCGCAGGTGTCTCAGCGGGGGCTGTGGGGCACCTGAGGAAGAGGAAGAGGCCACAGTGGAACGGCGACCCACGGGGGAAGGTGGGGAGGTGGAGAATGGGTCCAGAGGGGATAAGGAGGAGGAGGAGGACGAGGAGGAGGAGGACGAGGAGGAGGAGGACGAAGAAGAGGGTGAGGAGGGCGGCCTCCTGGACTGTGGGCTGCGTCTAAAGAAGGTCAGCTTTGCTGAGCGGGCAGTTGGGAGACATCGGCCTGGCCCGAGCCCAGAGGCCCTCCTGGAGGAGGGGAGCCCCACAATGGTGGAGAAGGGGCTGGAGCCAGGCGTGTTCACACTAGTTGAGGAGGATGATGAGGCAGAGGGGGCTCCTGGTAGCCCTGAGCGGGAGCCCCCAGCTGTCCTGCTCCGCCGGGCTGGGGGCGAGGGCCGTGACCAGGGGCCAGATGGGGGCCCAGAGCCAGAGACCGGCTCAGGTGACTTGGCCCGGAGGCAGCGGCAGCAGAATCGGTCCTCTTGGATCGACCCACCTGAGGAGGAGCACTCGCCCCAGCTTACCCAGGCTGAGCTTGAGAGCTGTATGAAGAAGTACGAGGTAAGGCAGGCGCCTGAGGGTGGAGGCAGGGCCCGAGAAGGGCGGGTGCACACTGGTGGTAGAGGTGCTGGAAAATAACAGGGCCCTTGGTGTAGCCAGGAGCCTGCCGAAGGGGAGGCTCGGAGTCCATGTGGGATCGTCTACGGGAGGCGGGCTTGGCAGAGAAAGGTGGTCTAAGGGAGGAGGTGTCCTGGTCTAAGCAGGTGCCCGCCCGCAGGACACGTTCCAGGACTACCAGGAGATGTTCGTGCAGTTTGGCTACGTCGTGCTCTTCTCCTCTGCCTTCCCCCTGGCTGCACTGTGCGCCCTGGTCAACAACCTCATCGAGATCCGCAGTGACGCCCTCAAGCTGTGCACAGGGCTGCAGCGGCCCTTTGGACAGCGGGTGGAGAGCATTGGCCAGTGGCAGGTGTGGGAGGGCCAGGGGCTCCAAACCGAGGTGCACAGGGAGACGGGGTGTACCAGGAAGGAACGCAAGGCCTGTAGAGCAGGGCTGACGCCGCCTGAGCCCCACTGTGTCCCCCCGCAGAAGGTGATGGAGGCCATGGGTGTCCTGGCAATTGTCGTCAACTGCTATCTCATCGGCCAGTGTGGGCAGCTGCAGCGCCTCTTCCCCTGGCTCAGCCCCGAGGCGGCCATCGTGTCCGTGGTGGTGCTTGAGGTGGGGCTGGTGGCCAGGCCAGGGAGCTGGGTATCTGGTGGGCTTCCCCAAGCCTTCAGCCTCCAACCTCCTCCTTTGTCGCCTCAGCACTTCGCTCTGCTTCTCAAGTACCTCATCCACGTGGCCATCCCTGATATCCCAGGGTGGGTGGCTGAGGAGATGGCCAAGCTTGAATACCAGCGCCGGGAGGCCTTCAAGGTACTCAGGATGGGGCTGGGCTCTGTTCACCCGCTCCGCTCAGTGGACCATCTCTTTGCCTGGCTTGCAGCCATGGCCTTAGCAGGAGGGCAGGTGTGCAAAGCGTGGTATAATTGGTGCTCTAAACAGACCTGGTCCCTTATGGAATCATGGGTGTACCCTGCACCAGGCTGGCACTCTGAACATTCCATCACCACCAGCTTGTCCAGCGGTGTCCCATTCAAGGTCAGAGACACAGCTGATGCTTCCTAGAAGCCCAGCCTCTGCTACGTTCCCCAGAAAGCCTCAGAGGGGGTTCATGAGCTCTCTGGCACCAGTCCCTGGTGCTCGCCATGGTGATGGCGATGTCCTCTGTCCGTGCTGCTCATGTGGCCCCACACAGCAGGGGCCACACACACTTGCATTGGCATTGACAGAACCACATGTGGCAACTGGACTGGCCAGTGTGGACTCTGGTCTGTGCCAGCCATGGCTCTGTCACCTGCCGCTTTTCCAGAAAGCAGAGAGCCACCGAGGCCCATTATCTGTTTATACTCCCCCAGTTCGTAAGATGGTATCTGGCACATGGCTGGGGACAGAGTGGCCAGTAAATGTTCTCTTGTCAATTTTCAGAAAGTATTGGTGTGAGTCTAGGGATGTGTTTGGTGCCCAGTAAGTGTTTAGATCTCTCCTCACCTCCACAGAGCCCCAGGGTGGGTCAGGAGATGGAGTGAGCCCCCAGGAAGTGTTTGGATCTTTCCCCACTTCTCAGGGAGTTCAAACACCCTCTCTTCCCAGTCCCCTAATGGCCTGCCCCACCCACAGAGACACGAGCGCCAGGCTCAGCACCACTTCCAGCAGCAGCAGAGGCGGCGGCGGGAGGAGGAGGAGCGCCAGCGCCACGCAGAGCACCACGCCCGGCGAGAGCGTGACACCAGCGGCCGGGAGGAAGCCCGGGCTGAGGGTGCGGGGCTGGACCCTGCTGCCCCTGAGAAGGCCTCGGTCAAGGCCAAGGGCAGTGGGGTGGGCAGCCATGGTTCAGAGCGACCCAAGCGCCCAGGGTCCCTGCTGGCACCCAACAACGTCATGAAGCTGAAGCAGATCATCCCACTGCAGGGCAAGTTTTTGTCATCAGGGGCCACATCCTCCTCAATGGCAGGCACAGGGCCCAGCCCCACCACACGGCCAACCCCTGCCCAGTCACCCACAGGCAGTGATACCCGCCTGCCAGCCTTCCTCAGCTTCAAGTTCCTCAAGTCACCCGAGGCCCGGCGGGATCCTGAGCGTAGCCACTCACCACCCAAGGCCTTCCACGCGGGCAAGCTCTTCCCCTTTGGTGGCGGGGCCCGGGCTGAGGCCGGGGCCAATGGGGTGGGCGGGCAGATCCGACTGGACGGGACCCCTGGCGGTGGCAGTGGCAGTGGAGGCAGCGGCGGCCGGGCCCAGCGCAGTGGGCAGGTGGACGAGGCTGCGGCTGAGGAGCCAGACGCCCTCCGGCCTGAAGAGGAAGGCTCAGGTCACAAGCTTTAACTCGGGGGTGGGGACTCTGGGCTGGGATTTGGGTGTATGGCAGGCTAGCCAGGTCTGGGAAGAGGGGCTAAAAGGGGACAGAGGAGGCTCGGTCACTGATACTTGTCGGGGACCTGGATCCATGTTACCTGAAACCTCTCAAAGCCTGCTCAGTTTCTCTGGGACCCTTGAGTACCTGGAGCCCTGTGCCTGACCCTCCTCACCCCAGGGAGGGATGCCAAAGTCCCCCATCCCGTTGCCCTCCCAGGGCACCTGGCCCACCAAGCTCCAGGCCAGAAGTGAGGGAGGCCCCTTCACCACCTGGCCCAGCCTCTCCTTACCCCATGAGACTCTACACCCAGCTTACTCTGGGGGGACTAGACCCCCCCCAACCCTCTATGCAAGTTCCCAAACTGAAGCCCAGTGTTTGAGGAAGACTTCCTGGAAGGGGAGCTGGGGCTGCCCAATCAGGGAGCTCGGTCAGCTTGGCCACAGGCTGCACCCACAGGCCTCACCCCTGGCCTCTCCCACCTAACTTGTACCACCCCCAGCCAGGGGTCCAGCAGCCCATTACCAGGGAGCTCAAGAGGTAGAAGTTGCAGGATCAGGGATTTAGGTCTGAAGTCAGAGGCAGTTTTTCAGACTGGCCTCTCCCCGGTGGGGGAAAAATATAGTGCTGCAGGTGGGGGGCGAGGGTGCACCCCAAAACTGATCAGAATCAATAAGGCCCTGATGTGCCTAGAAGCTGGGGAGGGAGTGCAGGCTGGGCCCCCAGTTGGGTCTGGTGGTGGGGCGGCATCCTCCGGAACGGCCCCTCTCACCTCCGCAGGGACAGCGCTGGCCCTCCGCACCCGCGGCAGCCGGAGCCCCGCACCATCAACACCAACACCGCTGCCCGGGCCCCCAACACCACCCGCCAGCTGCTGGCAGTGGGATGGGCCTTGGGGCTGTGGGGGTGAAGGCACCACCCCCCGCCAGGCCCCTGCCACCAACACAGAGTGCCAACCCTGTGCCCTGGCTGGGCCCCTGCCTGCCCCCCAGCCCCTGCCAGGGGATGCCAGCTTCTACAGCCTTGCGCCTCTGCCTCTGCCACCATCCTCTGAGTTCCCTGCAGCCTCTCCCAGCCCCAGCCCCAGCCCCCAGGCTGTGTGCTGGCCCAGTGGCTGGCACTAGCTCTGCCATGTGCCCCGCCTTCCTGTTCTTAGCAGCAGCAGTCACCGACGGCGGCCATCACCCAGAAACACGCTTTGGGGCCTGGGCCCCCAGTATTGGTCTCCCCTTCCTGGGGTGAGGGCCCAGCCCCTCTATCTGCCGTTTTCCTTTTGGTTAGGATGGGGGATATGAACCTCCCCTAAAAAACAAAAGACACAGAACAGGCAGTTATTTATTTGTTTTTAATTTATTTTGTCATATTTTTGTAAAACGGCAGAAATGCAATAAAAAGAATATTTCAACAGTGCCCGAGGACAGAGCAATGGAAACAGTTCAGGGGCCCGGTAACTTGAGGTTGACACTGGCTCTTGGGGCCTGGTGAGCCTGAGGTGGGTGTCCTCCTCCTTGCAGCCTTGGTGCCTCCTAAGAACTGGGCCTGGAGGCCACACGGGAAACTCCAGACTGTACCACCTCGGAAACAGCCCAGATTGGGGGGCCGACTCCAAGCCCAAGGCCCTGGGAGGAGCTACTGAGCCTCAAGCCCGCTGTGTCTTCAGCTTCCTAAACAAAGGAAGAAATCTCAAAGTATTGAAAGGACTCAGGAGTTTGGGTGCCGGGCCTGGGTCCTGAGTTAGCTTCAGCCCTGCAGGGTGACGAGAGACACTGACCCCTCTCAGCTGAGCTTCCTGGTACACCCGCCACCCAAACTGCCATCTGAGGAGCTGGGGCAGTGGGGAGGACTTAGGGGATGAAAGCCAGAAGGCACCTTGCGCCCAAGTTGAAATGTTGAGGGGATGCTGCATTTCAGAGATCCCTGGACAGGGTGGAGTGGGGGTGGCTAGGATGCCCCACTGTGGGACAGCTGTCCTACCCGAGTAGCTGGGGTTTCCCCGTGTGATCAGGGACAGATGGGGCCTCTCTCCACACCTCATCCACACCCAAAGTCTTGGAGCCTGAACAGGCCCCACCCCAGGGCTTGGGGAGCCAGCGTGAAGGGGAACTGCGGAGGGCCCTGAAAGAGAAATCGGGGTTCACTGGAGGCAGGAGAGCAGCCTGTGCAAAGGCACAGAGGTGTGGGAAGGCAGAGTTTGGTGTTTGGGGGAGCAGAGTAATGGGGGCCCTAAAGGCAGGAGGAGTGGGCAGAGGCCAGCTGAGGGGCCTACACCCGAGAAACCACAGAAATGTCTGGGTGGGGCATGGCTGTGGGCCTCCCACCACAAATGGCACTGGCATGATGCAAAGGGGAACCAGGGCCAGGAAGGCAAGGGTACAGGTGCCACCTGCTCCTGCTCTGCCCCATGGCTTTGAAGCTGATGTCCCACCGGCTTCTCAGACATTAACAATCAGCAATGCCATGTGCCAGCCTAGGGTCAGCCCAGCCCCTGGGAATGGGATTCCTAGTGGGCCAAAGAGCCTCCGGGGACTTGGCCATGTCTGCACAACCACTGGCAAGCTTGCACTGCTCGAGCCCTTGCCTTGTGACCACAGGGACCCAACACGGAGGCCCTGGTACAGAAACCGCCCAGAGCTGGGAAGTATAACCCCTTGCCCTTACAACACAACTGGGTGGCCTACCCTGGTATCTGCCACCCAGGGTGGTACTAGGCAGCCCAGACCCAAGCAGTCTGTCTCAGGAAGGACCCTCCATGAGGAAAACCTGGAGCAGGCACACCCTCTAGCTCCATGACCCAACCCCTCACCACCCCCTAATACTGCAGTCCCCATCCAGGGCCAGTGGGGGAAGCAGCAGCCTCCCCCGCCCCACCCCCCTACTCTGGGCCCAGTGGTCAGGGCCTCAAACCTTCTGCCTGGAGCCTGAAAGCCCCCTTCGCTCCGCTGCACTCCATGTGTCTTCTTCTGGAACCAGGGACTGTCTCCACAGTGGCTGGTGGGCGTGCCACCCTGCTTGCCAATGTCCTGGGTGTGGGGTCCACCACTGCTCTGTCTTTGGTGGTGTGGACGGTCTCTTGGGGGTGTCCTGATCATCAGGAACACTTGACAGGTGAAGCAGAAGGGTGGGTCCAGGCAGGGCATGGCTTTGGGCAAGATGGCTGCAGCAGGCCTGAAGGAGAGTCCAGCTGGTCCTGGGGACCCAGCTCATGGAGGCCCCTCTTGGCTCCTCTTGGTGATGATGAGACAACTCTCAGTGGCTTGGTCCTCTGGGGCCGAGGCACGTGGAGCAAAGACGCAAGAGCAAGTAGGAAAGATCCTTTTATTGGGGTGGACACGGAGCACGCACCAGTCCATGATAAAATGACTTAAGAGAAAGATCCGGAAGAGCTGACTTCTCCCTGTGGCGAGCTCTCAGAGCAGGGTCTGGGCATAGAATAGGTCCCAGTGGAACTAGAGTCAAGGCCGAGTCTTTAAGGCCAGACCAGTGGACGGAAGTGGGGAGAAGGGCCCCACCCCAGTCACCCAGCTGCAGCAGGGCTCATCTCTAGACACTCACAGACTGACTCTGGTTCTCCAGAAGACTGGGGAGCAGGAGGAGGAGGTCTGGGGTGGGGTGGGACAGTGAGTAACAATGTTGTTTTTTAAGAAGCATCTACCAACATCACACTACTGGGTCTGACCCTTTAACCATCGCTCGGTACATTTTACAGCATAAATAAAGACTCAAGGAAAATAAATACATCGGTTCCTATGAGGTTGGAAGTGGTGTGCATGGCAGGGTGTGGGCGGGCAGGCCGGCGGGGCGGGCGGACAGGGTGCTTACACACGGCAGGCGGGTGAGGAGCAGACAAGACAGGAGGCACCTATCAGGGAGTGTGAGTCTTAAGTGTCCTCGTGCATGTCTGGGCTGTCGGTCCGTGCGACTTTTCGGGGGGGAGCCGAGCTCTCACCCTCAAGGTCCACTTGCTCCTGGTCTCTCTTCTTGGCAGCGTTCTGGGGGACAAGGGAAGGAGAGGGCCATTGAGACTTCATTTGGCTAACCTCCCCAAATCCTGCTGCAGGGGTCACAGAGCTGGGTCTAGAGGGGCGAAGTCAACCCAAGGCCTCTGGTTGGGCAGCCCCTCGTACCACCGGACCTGCCCCACTAAGCCACAGTCCCTAGGGGTTGTGGGCCTGTAATGAACGCTGCAAAGAGTCACCATGGCTCACAAGGACCCACATACGGCCCAAAATGTCCTGAGAAGTTATGCACCCTGCTGAAGAAGAGAGGGCCCTTGTGAGCCCTGGGGAAGCCCATGCACTGCCGCAGGAGAGGAAGGTGGCCCCAGTTTGGGAAAACCTTTCCCTACTGGGGAAACCAAGGCCTGTGGGGCTGAGGAGGGGCCAGCGTAGGCCAGGAGCACATTTTCTAAGCAGTCACTTCACCATGGGGTCCCTCTTCCATCCCACCCAGAGCAGGTTGCTGTCACATGTTCAATGTTAGGTGAAAAAACAAACTGATCTTGTTACGAAGCAGTATGTGGAGATTTTCAATAAAGAAAGAGAAAACATCCGGTGTGTTAAAAAGGCAGCCTCTCCAGGGGAGGAGAGGGGAGATGACTTTCCACAGCAGCCACACACTCATGTACCACCTGGATTTTAATCATGTGCATGTTTTGCCACCGAAGAAAGACTCCAGATAATAACACTAGTGCCCAGCTGCCACCAGGGCTGTGCTGGCTGCAAGCCACAGAGGCTGGGTTTTGGAGGTGCCTGAGCCTTGGTACAGCTGGCCAAGCCCCTGCCCGTCCAAGCATTAGAGCTCTGTGGCCTCTGCACTGCCATTCCCTCTTCTGGAACATTCTTCTCTCTCCTGGACTGCCTATCAAACTCCTATTCAGCCCTCAAGACTTAACTCGAACCCTTGATCTCCCAGACCCATGTCCCTCTCCCACTCAGAGCTCCTGTGCTGGTCACCATGTTCCCCAAGTCCCAGCACCCAAATCCCACGAGCCTCACCTTTTTGTCCCATTGCTGATGTAGATAGCGCAAAAGGATGTTCGTTTTTTCTGTCACAATGACTAAGGAAGAAAGAGGAAAGGTAAAGTTGTAGGAAGAGGCTACCGGTAGACAGCTGCAGGTGGTCCAGCCTCCATCCTGGCCAGCACTGCCCTTCCCAGGATGGTGCTCATCCCTCCTTGGCCTCCAGAGCCGTCTCTGACCTGAGTGGCTTCTCTGGGACTCAGGTCAATACCCCAACCTGGAAGTTTTCAGGAAGCCAAGCATTTTCCCTCCTGAGCCCACAGTGACTACCAAGGGCTCAAGCCAGTTGCTCTGAGGTCCCTGCTTCTCAGAAAGGTGGAGTCCACTACTGCATTCAGGTCTCCACACTGAGTCTCAGGAGGGGCTCCTGCCCGCAGGCTCGTGCATGTGTTTCCCCAGGCCAACCAGAAGCACAGATCTACACAACTGCACCCCAGTGACCACGGAAGCCAACCATCAGGGTCCCTGTGCATGCTCTTCCGTGGCTAAAATAAAACACTGTGGCCCTGGCTGGTGTGGCTTGGTGGACCGAGTGCCGGCCCTCGAATCAAAAGGTCTCCAGTTCAATTCCCAGTCAGGGCACATGCCTGGGTTGTGGGCCAGGTCCGCAGTAGGGGCATGTGAGAGGCAATCACATATTGATATTTCTCTCCCTCTTCCTCCCTCCCTTTCCCCCCTCTCTAAAAATAAAATAAAATCTTTAAAAAGAAAAAATGAAAATAAAAAACATGATGACCATGATAAACTACTTCCCGCTCTGCAGGCTCCAGGCCTTTCCCTGCAGGCCCTTCCATCTGGATAACCCCTGTCCATGCTGTCCACCCACGCTGGACCGGGTCTCTGCCCCACAGTAATTGTTTTGGGGTCTGTGTCGTGAAGCTGATAGGGGACACCTGTCAGGTGATGGGGAGAGGGTCAGTGAGTGATAGACGAGGGCCAACTGAGGCCCCCAAGGGACTGGATGTGGATGTCAGAGTGTAGAGATGAGGCGGGTCGTGCAGCAAGCCATGCTTTCTGCTGTTCCCAAGGGCTAGGAGCTGACCAGCATCCCATGAGCCACTTCCTGCACTACCCTCCAACCTTTCCCCTCAGCAGCCTGCACAAGACAGAGTGACGGGCCACTTACTCTGTTCGGATGGGTACTCCCTCGTGGGCAGGTAGACTGAGGGGCGTCGATTCTGTGGGAGGGTCCGGAAGAGGTGGATTAGAAGTATGGGGTGAGAGTCCCCTTACCCGTTGATTTGGAACCCACCCTCCAATGCAGATCAGAAGATGTGTAAAGATCTTAGGTGGAGATGAGCTTAAAGATCGGCCTTTGCTCCCAGCAAGATGCTGATGAGGAAGTGCACATCACCCCCCCGCCACACCCACAGCTCCCTGAACCTGTACTCACCGAGGCTTTACACACAGAGTCAGCATGAAATCGACTAAAATTGCTTTTGTTGTAGACGGGCAGTCCTTTCAAAAAATCTGCCTAAAAGACAGGGAAGATGGTAAGTGAGAAACCCCTCAAGGGCCAGCCCTGGAACACCTGCAGTGGGAGGTCAGGCTTCCAGGTGACTTGCAGTGTCCTTCTTTCTGTTGTGTTGTAAGTTTCTGGGAACACATGTTTGAGCTGGCCACCTAATGTGTACACTGTATGACCAGAGAAAAGTAACCAAGCCCAAAGGAAGTGCATGTTCTACCTCAGGTCCTCACAACAGCCCTGTAACCTGGCAAGAGGTGGGGAAACTTAGGCTCAGAGAGCACAAGTCAATTTTTTTAAGTCACACCACAAATAAGCAGCAGAGTGAGAAGATAGACCAGGCATGTCCAACTGCAGATCTATCCTCTGTGCCTGCTGAATATTAAACTCCTGGTCTTGGACTTCCGGTCAAGATGGAGGTAGAAGTAGACACTTTTAACCTCCTTGTGCAATCACATAAAGAAGCACAACTAAACCTCATAACAAATAACACTCAGAACTGTCAGAATATCAAGCTGTATAGACGTCTGACAACCAAGGATTTAAATAAGCCACATTCATCCAAGATGGGTAGCAGGGGCGGAGACGCAAAGACAGGCAGAGAGGCACAGTGGCGCAGAGAGGTGGTGACAGCAGAAGAGACATGGGCAGTCCCCTATTCTCCTGGATAAAAATTGGTGTGGGGGATACCTTTGGAGCCAGAGATCTCAGTCCCAGGCCAGACCACATAGCCCAGGGTTCCAGCACCAGTAAGAGAAATCCCTTCTGGCTATAGAAACCAGTGGGGATTGGGGTGGCAGAAGAAACTGCCATATTTTCAGGAAACTCTGCTTAAAGGACCTGCACAGTCTTAAAACCTACATAAACCCACCCACTCTAGGATTCAACCCCAGGGCAACAGCTGGAAGGGCACCAGTCACAAATAGGAAGTGGGTGAAATGACTGGAAACCGAGTGAGTGCCGGGCAAACCTCCAGAAGCCAGGCAGCAGCACAGTCCCCTCTCCGAGCCCTCCCCCCATGCAAAGTCACAAAGGGGTGAAGCAGCTTGCCCCACCCTGGCGATTACCTAAGACTCTGCCCCACACAATTTACAGGTGCCGTTTCAACAACAGGCCACGCTACTAAGACAGGGAATCAAAGCAGCTCTACATAATACACAAAAACAAACACAGGGAGGCTGCCAAATTGAGGAGGCAATTAAGGCCCAAATGAAAGAATAAAACCAAACCCCAGAAAAAGAACTAAATGAAATGGAGAGACAGCTAACCTATCAGATGCAGAGTTCAAAACACTGGTGATCAGGATGCTCAAAGAACTCATTGAGTATGGCAACAACATAAAGGAAGAAATGAAGGCTACAGTAAGTGACATAAAGAAAAATCTACAGGGAACCAACAGAGAAGGGAAGGAAGCTGGGATTTATATCAACGATTTGGAACAAAAAGAAGAGCTAAACATTCAAACAGAATAGAATGAAGAAACAAGATTTCAAAAAAAAAGCGGACAGTATAAGGTGTCTCTGGTACATTGCCAAACATGCCAACATCCAAATCATAGGGATGCCAGAAGGAGAAGAGGAAGAGTAAGAAATCAAAAACTTAGTTGAAAAAATAATGAAAGAAACTTCCCTAATTTGGCAAAGGAATCAACATGCAAATCCAGGAGGCACACAGAGTCCCAAACAAGCTGGATCCAAAGAGGAACACACCAAGATACATATTAAATCAAAATGCCAAAAGTTAAAGATAAAAAGAGAATCTTAAAGCAGCAAGAGAAAAGCAAAGAGTTACCTACAAAGGAGTTCCCATAAGACTATCAGCTGATTTCTCAAAAGAAACTTTGAAGCCTAGATGGGACTGGCAAGAAGTATTCAAAGTTATGAAAGGCAAGGACCTACAACCTAGATTGCTCTATCCCCCAAAGCTATCGTTTAGAATGGAAGGATAGATAAAGTGCTTCCTAGACAAGGTAAAGCTAAAAAGAGTTCATCATCACCAAGCCCTTATTATATGAGACATTAAAGAGAATTACATAAGAAAAAGATCAAAACTATGAACATTAAAAATGCAACAAATTGCTCTGTCTGGTGTGGCTCAGTGGATTGAGTGCCCCTATACAAACCAGAGGGTTGTAGGTTTGATTCCCAGTCAGGGCACATGCCTGGGTTGTGGGCCAGGTCCCCATTAGGGGACATGTGAGAGGCAACCGCACATTGATGCATCTCCCTCTCTCTTTCTCCCTCCCTTCCCTTCTGTCTAAAGATAAATAATTAAAATCTTAAAAAAAAGGCAACAAATTCACAACGATCAACTGAATCTAAAAAAAATAAATAGACAAAGTAAGCAAACAACCAAAACAGGAACAGAATCATAAGTATGGAGATCACACAGAGAGTTATCAGCAGGGAGGGGGAGAGGGGAGAATGAAGGAAAAGATGCAGGGACTAAAAGCATAAACAGTAGGCACAAAATAGATAGGGGGATGTTAAGAATAGTATATAAAATGGAGAAGCCAAAGAACTTATAAATATGACCCATGGCCATGAACTAAGGCAGGAAGGATTGCTGGAGGGAAGAGGGGTACCGGACAGACGGAGGGAAAAATTGGGACAACTGTAATAATCAGTAAAATATACTTCAAATTTTTAAAAAAGATTTTCTTTACTTATTTTTAGAGGGGAAGGGAGGGAGAATGAGAGGCAACAAACACCAATGTGTGGTTGCCTCTCATGCACCCCCTACTGGGAACCTGGCCAGCAACCCAGGCATGTGTCCTGACTAGGAATCAGATCCACAACCCTTTGGTTTTCAGGCAGGCACTCAATCCACTGAGTCACACCAGCCAGGTTAATAAAATATACTTCAAAAAAATAAAAGAATAAACTCCCAGTCTTGTCTCCGTTTCTCCATCTTTAATAGATACCCAGATGGAGAATGTCTTGTCCACCATAAAAAAACCCCACGTGCCACCGTGGCAATAAATGGGAGTGATGACCAGAAGCCTGGGTGAAGGGGGCAGGGTGGCTGAGACAAGAACTGGGAGCCCAGGGTTGACTGGCTCCCAAGTTCCAAGGAAACCTGGAAATCCAACTTCAATGGTATAGCATCAGGTTTTTAGGGTTGGCTGAACTTTTCCTAAAGCACTGTGTGGTCCAGGGTCAGCTTAGCGGCTGCCCCTAGGGTTCCCACACCCAAAAGCTGCCCCATGAAGGGGAGGCCTCCCAGGGTAAATGCCCGAGACGAGAGGGAGCAGGATGCTCCTCCCTACCACCTTTTGCTTGGGGCAGCCCCAGAGATCTCAGGCCCACAAAGTGCTAGGGAGCCAGCGACAGAATTCTTTCATGGACCGACTCTTGAAAAGTCCTTTATCCCTGACACTCTGGGGTCAGCTTGTTAGCTGACACTGGGCAAGCAAGGGCGAGGGCTCTGGAGCAGAAGGACCCTGACTCTGGTGGGGAGAGGGGAGGAGGGACAAGACTCAGCCACAAGATGGACAAATAAAAGCCAGTGGGAGCCGCGTCTACCTCAGGAAACTCAGGCACAAAAGCATGGGGGTGAAGGGGAAGGATAAAGGCCAGGAGCTGTGGGCAGAGAGTGACTTCTCAGTAGAGCAACAGTGTTAACACTGTCATCTTGCCTGGAATGGGACAGCCAAGGAGGGGTTTCCCACATGGCCTGCCCCGGACCAGGGGCTTTCTGATTCTTATCACTCTGTCATAAGAATAAGGAAACTGCCCTGGCTGGCGTAGCTCAGTGGATTGAGGACGGGCTGTGAACCAAAGCATTGCAGGTTCGATTCCCAGTCAGGGCACATGCCTGGGTTGCAGGCCATGGACCCCAGCAACCACACATTGATGTCTGTCTGTCTCTCTCTGTCTCTCTCTGTCTCTCTCCCTCCCTCCCTTCCCTCTCTAAAAATAAATACATAAATAAAATATTTTTTAAAAATAAGGAAACTGAGGCAGAAAGGTCATGACACTCATCTGAGATGATCCAACCCCAACAAGAAAATGAGGAAGACAATTTGAATCCGGGTTTGCCCTCAGAGGCCAAGCTCCTGTTATGTGACATTCCAGTGGCTCAGTTTCCCTGTCTGAAATCCAAGGTCTGGGGGGGTCCATCCCCATGCCTGAGCCTAGGTGCTGCATCCTTGGGAAAGCCACAGTTCAGGTGATCTGCCACCACCCTCTGGGGCAGGCAGGAGCAGGTATCCTCACCTCTGGGGGCACCCCCAGTGTGGACAAGCATCCTGCTCCCACCCAGGAGGTGGCTCTCCCATTTGGGTGACCTACTGCTCCAAACACAGCTCAAAGCCACTCACCCCTGCCTCTCCTGCCCCAGCTCAACCCAAGACTATGGGGCCAGCTTCATTCAGCCAGCCAGGCTTTCTGGGAACCCTCCTATGTGGCAGACCCAAGCCAGGCACCAGGGCATTGGGAGGGTACAGCAGACCTGCTCTTGACCCCAGGAGCACCCCATGCAGGGCACAGAGGGATGGATCAAGGGACTGCACAGTGAATGTAAAATGGGCCCGAGGAGAGGGTACCCTGAGATGCTGTGTCATGCCCAAGGCAGTGAGGGGAAGGTCTGCTGGTCTGGAGGGGAGGGGAAGAGGGGTCAGGGAAGGCTGCAGAGCAGCAATGATACAAGTGCTGAGACCTGAAGCATGAGGACGGGGTCCTTATCTTGGCTCAAAGCCCTTCATAGCTTTGGCTGAGCTTGGTCCTCACTTGCCTCCTGCCACAAACACATTTAGCCCACACTGGGCCACCTTCCAGGAATGTTCCTCTTTTTTTTCCATGTGGGAAACACCTGCCAACCTCTCTGCCCAGCTCAACAACAGTCCCCTGCCCCTTCCTTCTCCACACACCTCAGGGGCCTCTGCCAGAGCTGCATTCAGACCCTGAGGAAGGCATCTGTTTACATGCTCACCTCCCTTGCTAGACTGGTGCCTCCGTAAGGGCAGAGGACAAGGAATGGCTGACTTCACCCTGACGGGGCTCACATGGGGCAAGAAGCAGAGCATCAAAAGGGTCAGGGGCCTCAGACCTGCACTCAATCCAGTCTGGGCTCCTCCCTGGCTACATGACCTCCCAGCCCGGCATCTTCTCCAGTGAACCAGGCAGGGGTCACAACAGGGCTTCCTGCAAGGCTTGTTCTGAGTCTCAGTAAGACACAGGGAAAGAGCTTCGCACAGAACTCTCCAGAATGAAGATGTTAGCATCACTGCGTTTGTGCTGAATAAATGTACAAAGATAGGATTCTGCCTATACTTCCGGTCAGGTAGGCAGGGAAACAAGTCCTCAGACACAGAGAGAAATTCTCACCTCAGCCAGACAAATCCTAGCCACAGCTCAGCCCAGATGCTGTCCACTGCCTGGGGAAACACTCACCAAACATCTGTGTGTCAGTCCCCCTCTGGACAGCCCACAGTGACCCAACCCATGCAAGGTGAGGAAAAGAAGTGTTGTGCTAAGAGAAGAGAGACGCTGAGGCTGAAGTCACCAAGGGGCCCTCTCAGGAGGTGCTGCTCACAGGAGGAAGAGCATTCTGAACAGGAGCAGCATGTGAAACAGCATGGGGGTGGTAGGGACCTGAAGGGTGAGGACATGAAAACAAAGCCAGTGTGGCTGGAGCTCTGAGCAGGGGCAATGCAGAGACTAGAGTTGAGGTCATAGAAGTCGGCAGGGGTCTTGGGTGCTGGGACTTCATCTGGGTTACAACATGAAGCTTCTGGAGCATTTTATAAGTTATAAAGAGTTATAATATGGTTTCAGGCAAATTACAAACTGCCAGTGGGGTAGATGGAGGCAAGGAGACCAGGGAGAAGCCTGGCGCAGACATCCAGGCAGGAGACGGCAGAGCCTGGGCCGGGGTGGGGAGCTGTGGAAAGACTGAGGTTGTGTCCTGGAGGCAGTGCCAACAGAGCTCTCTTACAGGCCGGGTGTGGGCAGAGAGCTTGCAGTGACGAATCCAGAACACCACCCAGGCGGGGGTACCCTCATTCTAGGAACCCACTTTTCCATCTCCTTCCTGACCAGCAGTCTTCTTTTGCCCATCCCAAGGACTGTGATTTGTGGGTTGAAACCCTGGGGTTTTGACTTGTCCAGACAAGTTTCCATCACCCCTGTCAGCCCTGCAGATGCCAAATAGTGGCAGGTGGCAGGGGTGGGGCTTCAGCCCAACTCTGAGGCTGGGTCACCATTTCACTTTACAGGCTGGGAAGCTGAACCCCAAAGAACCACCACACCCAGAACCCAGGATGAGCGAGTGGCCCAAAGGGGATTTTAAATTCCCAGCTAGCAGATGGCATTATCCCCGATTCAAGATGAGGAGACCAGGGAGAGGATGTCACAGGCCCGGAGTCACCCAGCTTATCTGTTAACTTCACTGTCTTAAACCCTTTACGACGTCATTCCCTAAATTGTCACAACCCTATGAGGTCTGGATACGAAAAAGATGAAGTTGCTCCCTCTAAAGGGCAGGTTGGCGCCCTGAATAGTGGGGTGGGGTTAGGGCTCTGGGGGATCCAGACAGTCTGCGATGTCGCACTTCCTTTGGCGACAAAGAACGCATATCACGAAGTCAAGCCCCCTTCCCCATCTCGACGCCCACACCGGCCTCCCAAACCCTCCCGAACAGGAGGCCCTGGCCCGGCGCGCCGAGAAAGAGGCCAGAGCTGAGGGTCTCAGGAGACACCCCCATCCTCACCGTTGGCGATTTCCAGAGGAGCCACGACCCGGAAATGAATGAGGTGTGAGGGCCTACACACCCAGGTGGGGTCAAGGGTCGGAGAAACCGGGGCGGGGTCAGCAGGAAGCTCACAGAGGGGCCCAGGGGTCGAAGGTTATAGGTCAGAGAGAGGGGCGGGGCCGGGCCTGTGGAGCTAGGCAGAGAAGTGGGGTATTCGGGGATTACTGGAGGTGGGCGGATCGCGGCGCCATTTTGTCGCGCGAATGGGGAGCTCGGGCCTGGCGGCCGCTCTTACCATCTTCTGCTTCCTCCGTCGCCACCTCAGATACCGCCTCAGCCGCCACCACCGCCACCACAGCCGCCTTCTTAGCCGCCGCCGCACAGTAACTTCCAGCCACAGCACAGCCCACCCGGATGGCGCCCTTGCCCTTCCGTCATTGGTCCGTCCTTTAGCCCCGCCCTAAAATATGCGGTCTCTGCCCGCTCCCACTGGCCACTTACCATAAGTCACGTTCCCATTGGTTGCCACGCCTCCTTCTTCGTGGTCAAGTTCGGTTGAGAGAGCAAAACCCCGCCCGGGACTTGGAAGAGATAGGGCGGCAAAATCCGGAAGTGGGCGGAGGCCGCGCCCCGGAAGCTTCTTGGGATTTGTAGTTTGCAACTCCAGGGGTTGAGCAGATCTGTAGTTTATTTGTTACGCTTTTTCATATGGTGTCTCTTCGGGTTCCCGCCGCAGCCCCGGAAGATAGGGGCCCACCGCACCACTCCCAGCTTCCCCCGGGCCCAACCTTAGGTTCCGGCTTACCTAAACAGCTCCCGCACTAGTTCTTTCAAAGTCATTTGTCTTTGAACTGACAAATCAGACTCTTGTCCAAATACCTCCTTTGGTTCCCTAGTCCCCCCAAAATCCAGCCCCACCTCCTCAGCTCCAAACTTTGGACCCCACCAGTTGCCCTCGTCCACCTTTTATCTTGACCCCTGTGAAATCCCTTCTCCCTTTGGGCCTCCTAAACCTTGGATCTCCTCTAGGAATCTTTCTGAATGCATTTTTTCCCAAAGCCAAGTCAGGAGCCTTCTCTAGGTTCCCATAGCCCTGTCTCCGCTGTGTTCACTTTGCCTGCGTACCAATCAAGCCCCTACCCGCCAATCCTCAAGTGACAGACGGGTGAGGACAAGGATTCAGTAGGAGGAAGTACAGAATAGGTTACTAAGTGGAAGCTAAGTATCATTACCCCCAACAGGAACACAGCAAAGAATTAACACCTTATTTTATAGGAAACAAATGAGCCTCAGAAGGCTAAGGTCTTGCTCAGAGTTATACATCAAATCACCAAGGCACAAGTGAGGTTTCAAATCCCTCCCACCTCCTCACAAGCCTTCCCAGACCTGTGAAAGTTACATATGACAAGTGGAAATTTAGACATTTAATGATATTAAGGAATTACTGACTTTGTCTAGGTGTGAAAAGTCTTGTGATTACGTTCTAAAGGCCCCTTATCTTGGAGAGATGCACTCTTAAACATTTACAGAATAACCGGATGCCTCAGATTTGCTCCAAAAACAAACAAAAAAACCCCACCACCACAACAACACAGGAGGGGGCAGGACTGGTTGTAGGTAATTGGTGGTCAGAAATGGGTGAGTACACGAGGTTCACTGTACTATTCCATGGACTGTTGCAGTATGTTAGAAACTCTTCCTGTTTCAAAAGCATAAAAAAGGACTTGGCAAGGTCTGATTTCCCACTCGCCCTTCCAGTCCAACCCCACAATTGGAGGAGCACTCATGTCTAAGTCATCCAAACTCCCCACAAAAAACAGCAGCAGGGAGGGAAATGTTTTAATGGGGATGGGGGCTCCCATCGGCAGCGTCGCGATCAATGGCTCAACGATTTGCGACCCTTGAGCATGCGGCGAAGGATGACCTGGACGCCGGCTGGCGTGCTCAAGCGCTTGATCCAGCCGTGCTTGTGCTTGCGTTTGATGTTACTCGGCTGATACTCATTCCCGCGCGCCTTGCCCCGGCTTGGCTGCGTGCCGGGGAGTCCCCAGCCTTCAGGTAGTCCCAACAAGGCCTGGGGCTGGAGCCACCTGCAGGGGTAGAGAGACAGCGAGAAAGGTCAGAGGGGTCGCTGAGTGACTTCGGTTATGCGCTCAACCTCTCCAAGCCTGAATTTCCGGATCCGCTCCGGGACCGAGCCTGGCTGCAAAAGGCGCTCAGTAAGTGCGTAAGGCAGTAGCAAGTTGTTTGGGAGGCAAACAGCTGGGCCCAGCCCCCAATACCGAGATAATTCCCCTAAGGACTCACCTGACACCCGGTATCCCCGCCGACCTACTGACAGGACACAACAGGCGACTCACGAACATGCCCAAGAGAGCCATGTCTAGCAGCTGAGCACGTTGACACCCGCGCCAGCTATTCCTAAACTCACAGGCTCCGCAGCTGCGGAACAGAGACTTCTGGGAAATGTAGTTTCTTCCACAGCGAAGCCTTCATTGCTGCGGGAGCCTCCCGGAGTTGTAGTTCTACTTCTTGCGCACCGAAGACGTGACTGGCGGTACCTACAGGATAATGTAGTTTCTCCTGTGGACCAGTAACAGTAGAACGGCTTTTCTTCGTCTTGCTCATGTGTAAAAGCACTGTGTTCCAAGGTCTGCTGGGAGTTGTAGTTCCTTCTACCGTTGCCTGGCAGAGGGTGCCTTGGGGTGGCGGTAGCGCGGCTGGTGGCAGCTGCAGGAAATGGCTAGTTGATCCTCCTGCCTCTATCGGGAGCCGGGCAGATGGCACACAGCTGGCTGGCAGCTTTCCTCTGGCAAAGAGCCCAGGAGGCCTGAGCTTGAGTTGGCTGGATGTCCGTAGGGTAATCCCTGCTCCTCTCCGGGATCCAGTTGCTGTCTGTAAGCTTGCAATCTTGCCGTTGGCAGTGCCCCAGTTAGGACTCTACAAGGATTTTTCAAATACTCAGATCTAAGCCCATTTCCTTCTCACACACACATTGTCCCAGGGAAAAGATCCAGCTCTTCGGGCAGGCTTGTGAAGCCACACACACAGACCATGAATTTGGCCACACCCTCATGTCTGGTATTCTCCTATTCACCTTTTTTAAATCCCTTTTCTCAGATATTCTCTCCCTAAACGCTGCCCCTCTCTGGCCCAGCGCTGCCCCCACATGGCTCTCCTCACATTCTCCAGGAAGACCCGGGGCCTCTCAAAGACCTGTCTTGGGGCTGAGTCCCTGCAGGAACTCCAGCATCTCCCAGCTTGGAGGGTGGAGAGTGTTTGCTGCAATAGTCTCCCTGGAGCACTTGAGTGGGCAGGAGTGGGTGGCTGGACCTAACAGCTCTGGCAGAAAATTTTAGGAGTTGGCAGTGGGCAAGGAATGGTTAACCCCTCGTCCTCTGAAGTCCATCCTATCCGCACTGTCATTTAGCAAACCACTACAGGACTATACACCAGTACAATAGTGTCAATAAAGTATCGAACGCTTACAATGCTGTTTCACCTGCATAGAGAACTCATGAGGGGATTAATTTCATAGAGAAAAATGAATGGCGTCTCAGGAAAGCAACTTGCCCAAGGTCACATATCTGCAAAGGGCAGAGGCTGGATTTGAAATCTGGGCTCTCTGACTCCAGCTGGGACCACAGAGTCGCCGGTTAAATTGACCCATCTGGAAAACTCCAATTCCCTAATTACCCATAGCGCTAAGACTTCTGTTTAAAGCTTTAACGAATAAATTTACAGGACTTGGAGTCAAACAACCGTGGTTCCAAAGTCCATCTCTGCCCCCCCACTCCACTTGCCTTATGACCTTGTGCCTTTTATGAGCATCAGTTTCCCCACCTGAAATTGAAAATATCTAGGAGTCTCTAAATGGATAGGTCAGCACAGAGAGAAGGGCACAGGGGCTTCATTTGGAGGGGATAGGGCAGTTCGGAGGCAGAAGGGATCCTATTCGCGAGGGAGATCTGGGTGCCGTCCCCTTGAGCTCGGCAAACCCCAACATGTGACCCCTTCTCGGCCGTGGGCCAGGCAGGCCCAATACATCCCTCTACCTCTATATGTCCCTGAAGTGGGCTAGGCCTTTGCTCGCAGAGCCCGCCCCCACCCCGAGATGACGCTTCTGATTGATAGTTCTAACTAGGGCAGGGCAGTCTGCAGCTGCGATTGGTCGAGATGCCCGTCCGTCGGCCCGCGGCTCCGCCCCCCCTGGGAGAGACTTAAAGGGCCGGTTTGTTCAGCTGCTGTGGGATGCCCCCTCGCTGACCGTCTCTGGCCCGCGCGGTCCCGCGTAGACGCGCCGGGTCCGACCTCGCGCCACCATGTAAACGACGCCCGCAGGCGGACGCTGGCTTCTTTCCCTGGGACTCCTCTGCCCTGCCCCGGGCCCGGGGCCCTCGATGAGGTGAGCGGGCAGTGGGCCCTGGGAAGGGGACATCGAGGCCTCCAGGGCTTCGAGTTCGGAGGGGAGTGTCCACAAAGCCGGTGCTCGGGCTGTTTGGAAGTCGTGGGGCCCCAGTGGCCTTGATCCCGCCACAGTACTGGTGGGTACTTCAGAGGCAGGGGCCTGGCGCTAGGGAGGGGGGCTGGCGTGGCGCATCGGTGTTACCCTCTGCAATCCCGGCTTGGGACCCTGCGGAAGGTAAAGGGTGCGGCCTGCTCTCCCTCCGTCAGCAAGTATAGGCCACCCAAGGCCTTCGGCGGCGTGCGTTATCCCTGGAGCGCCAAGGATGGGAAGAGGAAAGGGTTGGTCTCATCTCCAGGCCCTAAACAATGGGGGTGTGCTGCGCGGGTATCCCCCTTGAGTTATGTAACTGCCTGTGGTTGCCATGGACATGGGAGGGGTGGCCCAGGGAGTGGGATGGAGACCTGGAGGCCCCCAGGCAGAGCACTGCCTTCTCCACCCTCATCTCCACCATTAGAGGTTGGGCAGCCCCCCAGAATCCAGTGTTTTAGCCTCAGCTTGTCAGTCTGTTAAACAAACCCAGCGTCCCATGGTCTTGGAGAGATACGGACAAAACCTCTAGTGCTCAGTCCCAAACTCTGTCTCCTAGGGCCTCCTCACCTTTCATGAGCCAGGCTTAGAGACTTGGGATTGGAGCATTTTTAGATGCTTTCAGAGGCTCGCAGAACATGCTAGTTTAGTGACAGTGAGTTAATCAAAGAGAGCATATGTGAATGAATTAATGAATCAATGAATCAATGAATCAGTGAGCGAGCTTAGGAAACCATAACTGCTATAAACCTGAGCTAGGGGAGGTCCTCAGGGCTGGGCCACATTTGGCACAATGTTCCCCTCCTCCTGGAAGGCCCCCTTGACTACACCACCTTCCCTACGGAGGCCTCTTGGGGTCAGCTATAGCCAGGTCCTCTCTAGCGTGGCCAACCACCACTCAGGCACTGACCAGACAGAATATCTTGGTACTTGGCTGGCTCTGGTCCTCCATAAACTGGCACCTAGAAGGTGCCTCCCAGGGTGACTCACTTGATACAGGTGTGGGAACTGGGTGGTGTGGGGGGTGGAGGGCTCCCAGCCTCGAGGGTCCCAGAGTTAGCTGTCTCCCCCATTCACAGGACACATCATGCTGACCGGGGTGACCGACGGGATCTTCTGCTGCCTGCTGGGTGCTCCACCCAATGCAGTGGGGCCACTGGAGAGCGTTGAGTCCAGCGATGGCTACACTTTCGTAGAGGTCAAGCCTGGCCGCGTGCTGCGGGTAAAGCACGCTGGACCCGCTCCGGCCCCCGCCCCACCTCCACCATTGCCTGAGGAAGCCCAGGGGGACCAGTCTGGCTTGGTCCGCTGTCAGCGCCGAATCACTGTGTACCGCAACGGGCGTTTACTGGTGGAGAACCTGGGCCGGGCACCGCGAGCTGACCTCCTGCACGGCCAGAATGGCTCTGGGGAGCCGCCAGCCTCTCTAGAGGTGGAGCTGGCGGACCCAGCGGGCAGCGATGGCCGCTCCGGCCCTGTCAGCACCGGGAATGGCAGTAGCGGGCGTCGGCGGCGAGCCCGGCGCCCCAAGCGGACCATCCACATTGACTGTGAGAAGCGCATCACCAGCTGCAAGGGCACACAGGCAGATGTGGTGCTCTTTTTCATCCACGGTGTTGGTGGCTCCCTGGCTATCTGGAAGGAGCAGCTGGACTTTTTTGTGCGCCTGGGCTATGAGGTGGTGGCACCGGATCTGGCCGGCCATGGGGCCAGCTCAGCGCCCCAGGTGGCTGCAGCCTATACATTCTATGCGCTGGCGGAGGACATGCGCGCCATCTTCAAGCGCTATGCCAAGAAGCGAAATGTGCTCATTGGGCATTCCTATGGGTGAGCCAATGCTGGGGTAGGGGTAGGGATAAGTGGTGGGGGCAGAGACTGGACACCCCCATCACAAAACTGATTTCCCCATTAAAAAATCGCATTGACATCTGCAACGAGACAGGGATTCTAAGCAATACTGCTATTGTTTAACATTGTTTTAAAGCAGAATTTCTCACTATTGACATTCTTGGTCCAGGAATTCATTTCTGTGAGGGGCTTTCATGTGCCCTATAGGATGTTTAGCAGCATCCCTGACCTCTACCCACTAGACAACACTAGCAGAATGGTCTAGTGGTAACTGTGACAATAAAAAATGTCTTCAGATGCTGCCAAATTTCCCTAGTGGACAGAATTATTACTGGCTAAAAACCACTGTTTTCAACTAAGTTCAAAAATTGCTTGCCCTGGAGATCCCAAGGGCTCCAAGGAAGGACTAATTGGAATCCATAAATTCTATTTACAAGGCACAGTTTGCTTTAATTCACTCTCCCTTAAAGAGGTGATAGACAATATCATCTCACATTTACATGAGAGCCTTCTCTATGGAAGACTCTGGACCTGGGTGCCACCTGATCAGCATTATTTGGTACCACTCCCTCCTTTACTCAGGAGGAAAGGCAGAACCCAAACAGCCAGCCACGTTGAGAATCATTGTTTTAGTGGTTGTAGCCCATACAATTAGACAAGAAAAAATGTTACATAACCTTCTGAAAGGAAGTAAGGCTGGGAGGTAACTTATTTTTTTTTATGTGATAACAACCCCCAAGGTGGATGCTTATGCTAAATGATTCCTCCAATTAAATAAGCACTCATCTGTGATAGTTCTTATGACCCATAACAATGCCATGTGGTCAGCACAGTTCCTCTTTCATCAGTGTGGAGATGGAAACTCAGAGAAGTTAAGCAGTCTACCCAAGGATACTCAGTGAGTCAGGTCCACCCAATTCCTGCCTGTCCCATTGTCCTTCTTTGTGGCAGAGATTGGCCAACTTTTTCTTAAAGGGCTAGACAGTAAATATTTTAGGTTTCTGAGTCATATGTCAGTCTCTGTTGGAATTTCACCACTCTTATGCCATAGCAGGAAAGCAGCCATTATTGTAAAAAAGGAGGGTGGCTGTGTTTCAATAAATCTTTATTTATAAAATATTTTACAGATTTACAAAATTGTAAACTTCATTTACAGAAATAAGCAGCCAGCTTTAGAGGGAATTAGGAGCTGGACTGCGGGGCTCCTCAGGCTGCACCCTTCCACTTTGTATAAGGCAGGCAGATGTGGCACACCAGGGGTCAGTACGAGAAGATCCTTAAAGGGAAGGGATACACAGGAAACAGTGACCTTCTCTGGGCAGCCAAAGTGTTTGTTTAATCTGATGGCTTTCCCAACAATTGGCAATAAGTAATTCTTATCCCTTTGGAGGTCATGGTGACTTTGAGGATCTGATAAGAGTTCTAGATTCAGATCCTCAAAAAAAAAAATCTACTCTCAACACACACACACAATCTCACCATGTCAGAACATTCAAAATGCTCCACCCATCCCTCACCCACTCCCAATGCCCACAGACCCTAGGGGAAGGACCTTGGCCTTCAAGGACCTGCCTCTAGGGTAAAGTGTGTACATTAACCCCCTCACTGCCTGTACTCTGCTGACTGTCCCCCTTCAACCCTACCCACCCACTGGGCAGTGTCTCTTTCTGCACATTCCTGGCGCACGAATACCCAGACCTGGTGCACAAGGTGATCATGATCAACGGCGGGGGCCCCACGGCCCTGGAGCCCAGCTTCTGCTCCATCTTCAACATGCCCACGTGTGTCCTGCACTGCCTGTCGCCCTGCCTGGCTTGGAGCTTCCTCAAGTGAGTGAACTCAGCTCTGGCTGACCCCAGCAGCTCCCCAAGTTGTGTGGGAGGGGAGGCTGCCATGGGGGTACCCCAGGTGGGCCAAATGGCATGTGGGCTCCAGCGGTGTTTCCCTCCCACCAGGGCTGGTTTTGCCCGCCAAGGGGCCAAAGAGAAGCAGCTACTGAAGGAGGGCAATGCGTTCAATGTGTCGTCCTTCGTGCTGCGGGCCATGATGAGTGGCCAGTACTGGCCCGAGGGCGACGAGGTCTACCATGCTGAGCTTACCGTGCCTGTCCTTCTCGTCCATGGCATGCATGACAAGTTTGTGCCAGTGGAGGAAGACCAGCGCATGGCTGAGGTAGGAGCTCAGCACCCCAGCCATTGGCTTCCTAAATCCCCCTCCTATAGCCCAGGGGAACTTGACCATGTTCGTCAGCCTCAGGGACATGAGAGTTTAGATCAAGCAATCCAGAAAGTAGGGCCATCCTGGCCAGCTATTAGTCTTGTGCACTGTCAGCTGTGCTGGGTCTAGGGACCCTTGGGACTCCCACCATTGTCCAAGACCCTCCACCCCCCATTCCCAAGCGCTGGTGGATTTTGTTGCCCAAGGTGGGAGGGATGGGGGGCTGGTGGCACAGAACCTGCTCATCTCAACTTGTAAGTCAACAAAAGGCACTCTTCACAGCTGGGATTTGTATAAGTGACCAATGAGTGGGCAGGCTATAGAATTTTGGGAGAGCATACCAGGGGGCTCTTTAGATCAGAGATTGCCAAAAAGAGGCGTAGGATCGTTAACACTTGGAATAGCTCTGGACCAGCAGTTCTTAACCAGAGATGATTCTGCACCCCTGCCAAGGGGAGCTTGGAAATGTCTGCAGACTTTTTGGTTGTTGAGGCTTAGTGGGAAAGGGAGTGTGCTACCAGCATCTGGTGGTAGAGGCCAGGGATATGCTCAACACTCTGTAATGAACAGGACAGCCCCACAGGAAAGGATTGGCCCCAAATGTCAGTAGTGCTGGTGTTGAGAAACCCTGCTCTGGACATACTGTAGAAACATAAATAACTGTGATGAATACCAAGTTGGGCTCCAGCAGGGTGACAGGCCATCCTCCAGCTCCCCCTTGGGTGGAAGTGGAACTATGAAGGGTAGACTGCAGGAGGGACTTCCAGATGCTACATGGCATAGGTAGCTGGTAGGGAGTCACAGGGCAACCTGTCGCACATGCGCTGAACCTATGTCTCCTGCAGATCTTGCTCCTGGCCTTCCTGAAGCTCATAGATGAAGGAAGCCACATGGTGATGCTGGAGTGCCCTGAGACGGTCAACACGTTGCTACATGAATTTCTGCTTTGGGAGCCCGAGCCTCCGCCCAACGCCCTGCCAGCGCCCCTGCCTGTACCCCTGGAGGAGAAGAAGTAGCCACTGGGCCAGCAGAGCATCACAGATGAGCAGGAGGCTGGGAGCCCGTGACGTGATGGGGTCTGCAGCCAGGACCACCAGGGCAGGCAGTTGCTCTGGTGGGCGGGGTCAGGCCGGGGAGAAGCCCCAGGCTGGCTGGGCTGGGTGTGACATTCGAGGGAGCCAGGTGGACACCCCCCAACTCTGCTTGTGTCCTCCGGGGCCCATATGGCTATAGCAGAGACCTCTGCCAAGGATGACCTTGTACAGAAGTCCCCTCCCAAAGCCATGGCCATGGCCAAGGTGGCACCCACCCCACTCTGTCTTACGTGTCAGCTGTGCTTGATCCAGGGACCCTTGGGGCCCCGCCCCATTGCCCAAGACCCCCCACCCCCATTCCCTGGCACTGGTAGCTTTTGTTGCCCAAGGCGGGAGGGATGGGGGGGCTGATGCCACAGAACCTGCACATCTCAACTTGTAACTCAATAAAAAGTGACAATCCAAGCCTACAGACCTGTGCTGGGTGACCACAGGGCAGATGTTCCCCTGAGCCTCAGTTTCCCCATCTACAGATTTGGCTGATGCGGGTGCCTCCCCATCAGGGCCTTCCAGGATTGCTCCGCAAATTTCCCCTCCCGTGAACACAAGGGTGCTTGGGCAATATTCCTAGAGGGCAAATAGTTAGTGGGTAAGCTCCCTGTCCAAGGAGAGGAGGAAGTGGTTCAACTGAAATCCATACACAGGTTGAGGTGAGGATCACTGGATATTGCATGGGACTAGAGCACCAATAATTGTGTGCCAACTGTGTACAATGCTGAATGCCTGACATCCATTGGTCCACTGACTCCCCTTCACCCCAGGTCACACAGCAAGTCAGTGCCTCTTGCTATCCCATCTTATCTCTCAGCTTGGTTTAGGGTGACTCTTGTCATGAAGATTTTAATTTATTTTTTATTTTTTTAAAGATTTTATTTACTTACTTTTAGAGAGAGGGGAAGGGATGGAGAAAGAGAGGGAGAGAAACATCAATGTGTGGTTGTGTCTTGCATGCACCCACTGGGGACCCAGCCCACAACCCAGGCATGTGCCCTGACTGGGAACTGAACCAGCAACCTTTGGGTTCATAGGCCGGCATTCAATCCACTGAGCCACATCAGCCAGGGCAAGATTTTTATTTTGAAGCCTCCAAATCTCTTTTCCTGTCTGCTAGAAGGGTTTCCCTGCCCCACAGCCATGCTCTTGCTCCTCTCTATTTACCCTAATATATGTTTATCTGTGTACACTGGTGGTTTGACGATGGTGGGAGGAGACAACTGTCCCCTCATTTGCTGCTTCTCAAGTCCTCTGCCCACTGGTTTATGAGCCCACCTTTCCTTTAGTCCAGGGGTTCTCACCAGGGGCATGGCTGTCCCTTGGGAAATCCTGGGGACAGTTTTGTCACACCAGGGAGAGGGAGGGCAATTGCAGCATCTAGTGGGTGGAGCCCAGGGATGCCCCTTGACATCCTGCAATGCACAGGACAATCCTCATCACCAAAATAATTCAGCCACAAGTGTCAGTAGGATCGAGGTTAGGAAACTCTGTTAGACAAATCCATCTCTTCAGGGACTTTGGGGATCTCTGAATTCCCTCCCAGCACAGTTTTAATTGCTGTCCCTTTATCAGGAGACTTGGTGTTTGGGAAGCCGCTCAGCTCACACAGAGGTTTCTTCAGTTAGGTTAAAATGGGAAAGCCCAGGCCCCGTCCAGAAGCTGGGCCTCTAAGCACAAAACCAGCCAGTCTCACAGGGGAACGGGGGCTGGGCAGTAGAGTCAGTGGAGGCGCCTAAGCTGTGAAACTCTGCCCAGGTTACAGTGCCCCTGCCCGCCCCCTGCAGGACCTAGTTAGCTGAGTCACAGTGAGAGGCAGGTGGTGAGCTCAACCAGGCAGCAGATCTCCCCTTGTCCCTAAACCCACTGGATGCTTTGAAGAAACAACTTCTGGAAAACTTAAATGATCCCATCAACACCTCACCAGCACCGCAGCCTGGCATTTTGCTGAAACTTTGTAATGTGAATCGTCTGAAATTGCAAAGCATCACCAGAGGTTTGGGTCATTGATCCCATTTTATGGTGGAAGAGACAGGTTCAGAGAACCAATGCCAGGAAGGGCTGTACAGAGACCCCAAGGGCTGGTGTCTTCCACTCACAGCCCACAAGCTCCCTGGCCCTGGCCTCCTGTCACCGCACATAGTCAGCACCTCGAGAGCGTCAGGACACTTCCCTTCCCCAGGAGACTTTCGACCTGGGCCATCTCCGGGTCAGTGCAGGGCTCTGAGCTGCACCCTCCAATCCCCACAATGACCCCTGAGGTAAAACCTCACTGTCCCTCTTATACTCCTAAAGAAACTGAGGCTCAGATAGACAAGTCACTGATCTGAGGTACCACACCTGGCAAGCAGAGCCCAGCTCTCAAACTGGGTAGATTCCCTTCATATGGCTGAGGGAGACCCCAGCCCACAGAGTGGGTCCCCTGTGTCTGGGAGATAAAAGTGGACTTTATCCACACAGAGAGGACCAAACTGCCAAAGCAATGGCAAGTTTCAAAGCACCCAATGTTCCAAAGAATCTTCTGGCCAACTTGTTCTCCTCCCATGACAGGGAGCTCACTGCCTATCCAGCAGTTCCATATGTAACGAAGTCTTCCCTCAGCCCGAGGGGAAGACCTGCCCTGCTGCTCACCCTCTGCCTTCTAGAACTGGAGATGAAGGGCTGCTGCCAGCACAGGTCAGCTGGTCCATCCAAACACGCCGATCTCTATCCAGGCTAGATGGGCAGTTCTCCAGCACTCAGCCACGGGCCTGGATGTCTTGGGGTCTCAACTCTCGTTCACCCTCAGCCAGGAAGACAAGGAGGGCACGGTGCAGCAGATGCACCCCCAAGCGGCGGCGGCGGGCAGGTGGCCAGCTCGCCACCACTCCATAGCAGTGCCCTTGTTTCTGGTTGGTCAGAGTCTGAATCCCTAGAGATTGAGGGTGAGATCACAGGGACAGCCTCAGCGAACTCCTGGTAGAAGTATGTGACAGTGAACCCACTGTGTATTCCCCTCAAGGAAGTATAAACCCATGGAGCAAAATAAGTGCATGGGAAGGTACATAGTTGGTACTCAATAATTACTCATTGAACAAACAGCCCTTAGAGGGAAGAGGTGAGGGGAGTGGTACATCAAGTGCCCTTCCTGTGAACCCCACCCCGTGAGTCAGGCACCCACCTAGAGCATCCACAAGACATGCCTCTCGAGTGTAAGCCTCCACAGCGACCACATGCTGGAAGCAATGCAGGGACACAACACCACGACCACTGGCCCAAATATCCAAGATCTGGCGCACCTTGGGACAGGCCTGGGGGACCAGGTCAGGGTCAGGGGTCTGCCCCCCAATTCCCTCCTTCCCCTACCTGCCCACGGTCTGGCTGTCCCTGCCCTGACCCTGGTCCTTATCCTCACACCTGTTTTCCTGGCTGTCCATGATAGCCAAGGGCCTCCAAGAGGTGGGCATTTGGCCGGGCCCGTGTCCCCTTGCCCACATAGAAGATGGCATGGACAAAAGTCCGAAGGCGTTCAGCTGGGGTTAGTGAGAAGGCTCGGGCTGGCAGGTCCTGAGTCTCCCTGGATGAAAAGGGTTAGGTCAGAGAGGAAAAAGTGACAAGAGTATCCCTAAAGAAAATCTCTAAGGTCACAGGGCACAATGAGCCCACATCCACTGACCCACATTTTATAGGACAGAGAATGGTAGCTGTTCCCCAAAGACACTCAGCTGCTCAAATTAGGTCCAAGTGCTTTCCCCCTCACCCCCAACTGCCTTTTACAGATAAAGCTTATGACCAGAGAGGACCAGTTCCCTTCCTGAGGACACACAGCATATAAGGACCAATTCCAGAATTTTCCAGCTCCCACTTCTGAGTACCTGGGGTCCAGCAGCAGATATGTGAAACTGGACTTCACTACCCCCTCCCGCCACCTTCTGCCAGGAGCTGGCTGCTCAAATTGCTGGGCAAGTGCATCCTCGTCTGCCTGGGCATCTGGGATTCGGCCTGTCCTCAGGGCCTCAGTCAGCTCTGGGCTGTGACCTGAAAAGTCTGGGCGTGGGAGGGGAAACTGAGTCAAGGGAGAGAGAGGAAGGGGCAGTTCCCAGAGATGAAGAGAGAAGTAGGACTGAGTACCGGGAGTCTCCGGGAACTCCTGGAGTCTCCTTGAACTCTGGATGCCCAGAAGGCACTAACCAAGAGCAGCCTGAGCTTCTTGTAGTCTTCGGAGGTAGCGTGGTCGGGTGAAGGGCGTGATGGGCCCTGGGCTCTCACCAAGTGCCCGGAGCCTTTGCAGCAGCTCTAGGTCAGACATGGCCGGGACTGGCAGGCACTGGCATGAGCGGACTGTGTCCCTGCCACCTGTGGAGCTCTCCTCGTCCTCTGTCAGCCAGAGGGCGGCCACCTCACTGCCAAGGGACGGCTGATCATCTGTTAGGAAGTGGAAGTCAAGGGGTCCAGCCAGTGGTTCCCGAGGGGGACTGTGGGCTGGGACCCCACCTGGGAGAGACGTGTGGGAGGGGGAGGCTTCTGGCAAAGCCAGAGTCAGGGCCTGTAGACGGGCTTTTAATTCGGCTTCCTTGCCCATCATGATGGCTCCACGTGTCAGCTGAGGGGTGCTCAGAGACATTACTGCCCTCCGGGGTGGTCGGATACCAGGTGGAAGTTGCTGCCTGGTCTGGGGCAATGACTCAGCCCAGAGGGATGTATGGGGGGCTGGGTTCTTGGCTCCAGAGGCCTCAGCTATCGTGAAAAAGGAGGCATCTGAGCTGCAGTCCCAGCACCCTGCAGGGGACTCTAAGCGGCCATTCCTGACAGCAACCTCAGAGTAGGCAAGGATGCTGGGGGGTCCAGGGCCAGTCTCCAGATCCGTGTTCCTGCTGTCACTTCTGCCCAGCGCTGTGGGTTCTGGCATCACATTGGGAGGTCCAGAGGGGCTGATGTCCAGCCTCTCCCCCTGGAGGCCTGTGCCTGGAGCAGAAGATGAGAGTTGGGGTCAGAGAGCAGCGGAGGGGAAGCCAGAGATAGAATGAAAGCTGGATCGGACAGAAACAGGTGGCTGGAGTCAAGGGGAGGAGGAAGAGTGAAGGGAGACAAAGCTGACTGGAGACACTGGATGTGAGACAGAACCAGAGAGACAGCAGAAATCAGTGACAGAGACACCATAAGCTGGGCCATAGTCCCAGCCCCTGGGTCCACACAGGCCCCACTCACCACTGGGCTCAGGCTCCAGCTCCTGGGTTTCTGCCCGGGTCTGGGTAGGGGTCCTGGTCAGCGTCAGAAGCTCCCTTAGGACGCGCACACAGTCCTGGTGCCCTTGCTGTTCTGCCAGGTCCAGTGGCCGGAGTCCATCCTGCGGCAGTGCAATCAACAGGGGGCGCCGGAAGCCCTTTCCCTCCCTCCCTTTCTCTCTTTCCTTCTGCATTTCGACTCTTCCTATAGGGCCCCTCACCTGGTCACGCAGCCCAGGGTCTGCTCCTTGGCTCAGCAGCAGTTCCAGGCCACGGCGACAGCCCCAGGCAGCAGCCACGTGCAGCGGTGTCAGCTCCTCAGCTGATCTGGGGCAGGAGAGGAGGAAGCTCGATTTCTGCAACTGAGCACCAGACCTTGGCCCTTGTCCTCTCCACCCCATCTCCACCCTCTCGCCTGAGACACCCTCATAATCTAGATCGTGTGCCCTCAGCCTGGATCTCTCTACTCTCTGATCCTAGGAATCTACCCCCAAACCCGAACATTTGATCCCCACTTTGGCCCCTGCTCAACCCCATCCCCCACCCTTGGCCTGGGACTGTAGCCTCTGCCCTTGGACCTTCAGGATCCCTGCCCTAGTTCCCCAAGCTCCGCTGTGTGGCACCGGGTCCCACCCTTGGAAAGTGGGATGCCGTGTCAGGGACTCCCAGGCCTCGCCCTTGGATGCAGGAGACCCCTCCCCTGCGCGAAACGACCCACCTCCGGTCCAGGATCCGCCTCACCTAGCATTGGGGTCCCCTCCTCCATGAAGCAAAGCCTTGAGGCATCGCAGAGCGCGCCTGTGCCGGGCTCCCGCTGCCAGGTGGATGGCTGCTGCACCATCCCTGAGCACCAGGTTGGGGTCAGCACCCCGGCGTAGCAGATCTTCCACAGCCCTGCAGATTAGGGGTCAGAGTGGACCGCAACCCTAGCCCCTCATGCAGCCTCGTCCTCCCCGGCCCCCATTCTTACCACGGCTCCTCCTCCCGCAGTGCTGCCCGCAGCCGCTGTGCCAGGTCCACCGCGGAGTCCATGCTTACCCGGTGCCCCAGTCCTTCAGCTTGGTGTCAGTTTCAAACTTCCCGCGGAGCCCTTGTGCGCATGCGCCACCCCACCCCTTGGCTCTGGTCTCCACTCGCATTCATTGCAGGGTCCCCCAGCCAGGCTATCTCATGCTGCACCAGCACGGCCATTAGCATTCGAGAGTTGCAGTACCCACCCAGGCCCGCAACCTCCAGTGGTGCTCAGGCAGGGACTGGACAGGTGAAGGCCGCAGGGGGTGCCATTATTCGGTGTTAAAACGGGAAACGCTGACACAACCCGAGGGGGTGGAGCTATGAACCGGTGACCTGTCACCCAAGAGGCCTCCATTAGCGCGAAAATTCAATTAACGGTTCCTGCCTCCAGCTCAGTGTCGCTCCTTTCCTAGAGCCAGGAGTCCGTGACTTTGGGGCACTGGCCCCCTGAGGCCTTAGTTTTCCCATCTGCAAATAGAAGAATCCCTTCTAGACTGGTGTAATGTGGAATGAACATCTCATCACAGGGGCCTGGTACACGGGTGCCCAATGAATGCTGTGGGAAAGAAAAGCTGTTGCTCAAGGAAGCAATTTTACTTTTATATAGAATTGAGAATCTCTCCTGTAAACATTTTTGACAATTGCTTATTATCCAGACATAGTTGAAACGTGTACCTGCCGAGCTTGCCTGATCTCTCTTCTTCTGGTGAGCACCCACACTATTTCCTGGGAGCAGTAATCCTTCCTTTGTCAGGAGAGGACTGACCCAAGCCTGAACAATCAGAACATGCCAGAGCTCTGGCCCATGACTCAGCCATAAAGGGGTGCCGGGAGCCCTCACTTGACCTGCGCTGGGGCTTGGGTCGTGGTCACAACGGTCAACCAATGGCCATGGTGCCAATTCAACGCCAACAGGAATCCCTAATTTGGAGTACAGTGGAAGAGGAGACTCACGGCAAACACCTCAATACAGAACACCACAGCCCTCTCTGGCAACTGGTTTCCGCTTCAGCCAATGAAAATCAGTCTTCAATGGAAAAGGAAGTAGTCCCCAGCCTGAAGGGAACTTATATAGAGAAACCCCACTCATGGCCATTCTAGTGCAAGTGAGTACTTCGAAACCTCCGTCCGTTTGGCCCCAAAAGCACTGCCCTGACCGGTGGGAATGGAGCCATTCTGATGGTCAAAGATGCTAATGAGGTTATGGCTGTGCAGCTGCAGTTGGATTACGGAAGTACCTCCATCCTGATGGTTGACAAAGATTCCAAGAACTCCTTCACAAGTGCTGGCTCCCCCAGCAGGCACACAGTGCACACAGCCAGGCGTTTCAGAACAGAAAGTAGACAGTGTTCCTACCTGAAGCCTGGCTTGCACGAGAGGCCCATGTTCAGCAATGGCTCCTGAGCTCTTTTGTTTTTTAGTTTGAGACCAATTAGTGACCAGGAGACCCTCTTGGTAGGTACTTTCTTTCTTGGAGTCAACACAACCATCTCATCCCTTTCCACAGGTTGGGGGGAAAGCAGGGCACACTGGACACCCACCACACAGTGTTTCAGCCCACCCCAACGGCAGTATTGTCTGAGCAGCTGGGTACAGTCAAGCCTGAAGCTGCATCTTGGTTTCTCATCCACAAGAACCAAGCCATTCCTCTTTCTGTTCAGTGGGTGGGTTTTCTGTGACTTGTAACCAAGAAGATCCCAATTAACACCAAGTGGCTAGTGTGGACCAGGGTTAGAGACTTCTCAGATTTTTATTCTGATGACAAGAATCACACAGGGAAGAACAAGTTATAACTGACAAACTGGGAAAAGAGATGCAGGCTGGGAAACATGGGGGATGGGTGTCGGCAGACCCTGGGATGCTCCCTGGAATCCTGGGTTTCCTTTCAGGGCTCCCCAGTACCCTGAGTGCCTCCCAGAAGTTCCCCAGGGCCGCATGGAACGGGGTTTAAGAACTCCAGGCCCCAGGTCTCATGGCACAGGCCAGATACACAAGGACGGTTCAGACGGTGGCCTCCACCTCAGTGGCTTCCTCCTCCTCCTCCAGCAGGCTGTAGGAGGCATGGCTCTGGCATGGCCGCTGTAGTGGGTGAGCCAACAGCTTGGCCATACAGTTGTGCAGCTCGAGGGCGGGCCCAGCCAGTGCCACCTCATACTTGTAGCTGGTGCCCTTGGTATCCAGGCTGCCCATGAAGGCAAACATGTCCTGTGGGGCCAGGGAGGGGGTCTTCAGGCAAGGGTTCCCCTGACAGGCCTTCCTTGCCCCTGGAGAGTACCCCAGAGGAGGGGGCCCCAGGGGTGGGTCCTGAAGGGTGAAGAGGAGTTTGCCAGGCAGACAACATTCCTGCATTCAACAAACACTCCCTGCTACCCACTCAGCACAGGGACACTGAGGTCTCAGTCCTGGAACCCCCAGTCTGCAGATGGCTGGATGCAAACTACCTGCCAGCCGCCGTGCCGATCTTCCTTGAGGAGCAGGGAAAGCTTCCCATAATAGGGATTTTGGTTTAAATATTGATGTCTGAGTAGGAGCTGATCTCAACTCCCCTGTTCACTGCTGGGTAAACTGAAGCTCAGAGAGGTAAGGGGCCCACTCAAGGTCCTATAGCTAGTTCAGGGCTGGGACATGAATGAGCAGGAGAGCCTGGGGAGGCAGTGAGGGAAGGGTGCTCCACGCAGAGGGCTCAGCCAGGGCAAAGGCAGGAAGAGAGAGAAGCAGGAAGTATGGAGGATGAAGTGTGCGGAACGCTACTTGCTCCCTGGCCCACCATCCCAGCTGCCCCTCTGAGTTCCCAGCAGGTGTATGGAAGTGGCTGTTGAATGACCAGCATCCAGGTGGGATCTCCGAGGGTCAGGGCAGGTGGGCTCTGAGATACCCCATCTACACCCACCTGCCACCCACACCTGCCATGGCCTCACCTTCCAGCTCATCTCCTCCTCCTTCTCGTCGGCGCCATTGTGGATGTAAACAACATCGAAGAAGAAATATGGGCACTGGAACATTTTCTGCAGGGGAAAAACACCAGCCCTTGGGGTCCAGGTCACCCTGTGCCTGCATGAGCACAATTCCCCAGCTTCTGTCTTAGACTCGGGGGACCTGCCAACAGGTACCCCAGCTTCTGTGCTCAGGAAGTCCCTCCCAGTGTCTCACCGCCCTCTCCCAGCCTCAGTTACCTTCATGGGCTCTGTCAGGGAGAACTGGGGCTGGCAGGGCGGGCGGCTGTAGACAAGGATGGTACGGACCACATATGGCGGTGGGATGGTCTGCACATTCTCTGTGACTGGCAGCTCGGTCTTCTGTTGGCTGCACAGTGAGGGGACAGGTCAGAGCACAGTCTGGGGGGGCCCCTATCATCATTTTGGACAGCCCTGCTCCTTGCTGGGCATGCAAAACCCCACTGACCCCTCCCCAGCCCACTGCTGCCTCTGAGCCTTCCCACACAGTTCTCTCTGCCCAGAATGCCTCCCTAGTCTCACCTTCTGCTTGACCTCTCCTGCTCCAGGAGGAAGGCTTTGCTAAACACAAAGCAGGAGCCTGCTCTAGCCACCCTGAGTGGCCCCCATCACCTGGAGTCGGCCCTGCCCCACCAGGTCAGGAGACTCTCGGGCAGGGGTCTAATCTTACATGCTTGGTCACAACTCATTTCCCTCCTTGGCCATAACTGGATCTCATATTGGGCAGAGGGCACTAGGCAGAGGGCTAAGGCCCTTCCTTTGTAAAAAGCAAATCTGATCATCTACAAGAAAAAAGCCAACCTCCTCACAGAAAAACAGGTACAAGGGACAGAATAGATAAATCACCAAGGGAATATCAAATGGCTTTAAATTGAATGAGGAAAGGCCCAAAGAAAAGATTATCACAGTGGCAGGCGAGGCAAAACGGGTTAATTGCTGGGACAGTGCTTTGGCAATGTCTAATAAACACCCCCTCCCTGCCCCTTAACCCAGCGAGTCCTCCATTGCAAATTCACCCCATGGGTTCACTTGCAAGATGTGCTGAGATGTTTGTAACAAGTTAGTTATGATGGTAAAGGCAACTCTGGGCCCAGCACCAGGGGCTGGTTGAAAACGGGGATTGGGATATTAGGGTCCACATGCTAAGATAATAGGTTTTATATTTTTAAATAACTCGAGGGAAAAAACAAAAAGAGTATTTCATGACATGCAGAAATGGTAGGAAACTCCAATTTCAGTGCTCGTCAATAAAGTTTTATTGGCACAGGGCCATGCCCACTGTGTCCATAGGGTCTGTGACTGCTTTTGGCTTACGACAGCAGAGTATAGTGGCCATGACAGAGACCATATGGTCTGCAAAGCCAAAAACATTTACTACCTGGCCCCCCTGGGTTAAAACAATGGCACAGAGGACCACGAGGCCACTGTAAGACTAAAGCAGAGGGCAGGCCGCAGGGAAGGGAGGACTTACATGAGACTGAAGAGACCTTCCATGTCTGGCGGGAATGCTAAGGAGAACGCTGGTGGCAGGGCACGGGTGGACAATGTACTTTATCCAGAAGCTGAGAGACCCCAGATGCCTCCAAACCTGGTGTCACTGTGCCAGAAACCTGTGTGACCCAAGCCTAGTCGCCTCTCTGAGCCTGTTTCCCTTAGCACAGATCACAGACTAGGGGGCTGGCCTCAGATGTCCCGAAGACCATTGGTTACTCAAAACTCCCCTCTCCCTCAGGGCCGGGGCCGCTCTCCTTACAAGCAAAGAGCCGTGGGTGTCCCTGTTCCCCTCCTTCCAATGATCCCCAATTTTCCAACTCACAGGGATTGTACTATAAGTTTTGAGTTGCATGTGGGCCTTTCATGTTCAAATTAGCATAAGTCACAGTAGTGACTGTGACCTTTTGGCCACATGATGCCATTTATGGAGCACCAAATGTATAACCGGCCCTGCATGGAGTGCTCGCCCTGTGGGTGTGGTTTTGACATCTGGAGTCCTCATCAGTTGGTTTTGATTCTGTTATGACTTTACCCCCACAGCAACCCATGGGGTAGGATGTTCTCTGCTTCCCATTTTACAGATGAAGAAACTGAGAGCCTGGGGAGCATCTGAGATCGTGCCTCCTGGCAATGTCATCGGTTT